CTGAGTGGGCGCCCAGCAGCAACTTCGACTCCGAGAACTTCCAAAGCTGAAGCAGCACGATAGCCATGGCGACCGGCACGACGACACACCTTATACGCATAGACCATACAGGAGCATGTTACAGTCATCTTGTGCTTAGCTGGCTGCAAATCTATGTCCTGAAGCATGTCGGCGAGCAGCTTAAGCGCGAAACTGGCTTGCTCGACGATGTGCTTCACGGTCGACAGGATCTGAACGGTAAGGTCATCGGCGTAAGTATATAAAGACACCTGCAGCCCGACGGTGGCCTGCAGCAGCTCGTCAACTGGACCCAACATCACGAGCTGAAGAATGAACATGGCGATACTGCATCCTGGAAGAACCCCATCGAGCGGCCCAAACAGGATCTGAAAACGCCCCCTCCCATGCCAGTCGCCTTTCAGCACAATACATCCGCAATGCTAAGCATAGGAGGTGTCCAGGGAACCCATGTCGATGCCCAGCGAGTACGATAAGCCTCCAGGGGACCCTATCGAAGCATTTCTCGATGTCGACTACCGAGTGCAGCACGATCTTATCCTCAGGCAACCGCAGCTTAGCTTCCTGAGACTCCCCCTGAAGCAGGACCCGAGCAGCGACATCAGTAGTACATTTTCCAGCACCTAGCGCTAGATAAGAGCGGCCAAGTTGAGAGGCCCAAGAGCGTATATGTAAGAGCCGTGCTTTCGTCCACAACCGATACAGCGAGCAGAGGAGAGCTATAGGTCTGTATCCACCTGCAGGTTTGGCTAGAAGAACGACATGCACATGCATCATTGCCGAAGGCCAAAGCGACCACTGCCCACATAGGCACAGCATATACCCCACAGCGGAAAGAGCAGCATTGCTGACAAGAGACCAATGACGAGGTCGGGACCGGTCAGCTCCTACAGCAGTCCTAACAGGGAAACCCTTGGAGGCCTCGCGGAGGCTTTGGATCCCAAGAGGCGGAAGTCGGGGACCAGTTTCCCTGAGACGCTCCAGGTCCAAACGTAACTCCAGCAAGCCATCGTTGGGCTCGTCGGTGCCGTCCCAGATCCCCGACCAAAAATCCTTCTGGACCTGAGCGACATCTGAGGCATGGCTTGATGGCCCCAACGACGTGTGCACCTGGGACAAAGCCCATCCCTTCGGCTTTGTCCAGGGATGAACTGGCCGAGGTCGACTGCCTAAGCAATCGCGCAACCATCTGGCGAAGCCCAGACCACGCCTTCTTCCAAGCTCGGCCTCGACGCGCGACGCATCATGAGCCAGTCCAGCAGCCAGGCTACGAAGGTGAAAATAATGAAATGCACCTGGCTGCGCAAATATGCCGACGAGCAACTTCGGAACTGCAGAAACCAACCCTGTAGACAGACATCCAGCGAGCCTCCACATTCGCCCGTTGCCTGCTATCAAAGGTATAATAGGGTTCCAAATACTGTAATGCTTCTGCAGCGGCACATATCCATGTTGCTTAATCACCCTGGTGAGGTCCTCGAGCCTGTACTGAAAAAGTCGAAGAGCTCGCGTTTCTGCAGCGCCTGCAGGCTGATGACCAGAGAGCGCGCCTCCAGCCGTAGACTGGTGATACTCAACATCTCCGCCTCGACCAGTATAGGCCTCAGGCTTGCCGAGATCGAAAAGCGGCGTCAGCTCCTTCTCAGTGCCCTGAAAGATGCTATCATACAGCGCATCAAGCCGATCATGCCGCCTGGAAGAAGGTCCTGGCCCATGCTGGGCGTCGGACTCCATTAATTCAATCCAAGAGAAACCTGGATCACCCACAGCCACGGTGTCCTCCTTATCGTCGTCGTCGGACGAGTCTGGGTGTCCCAGTCGAGGCTGATGCACTGGCTTGGGAGGAAAAACTTTTGGTCCACGAATATTTTTGAACCGTCTGCGCTCGAGAGCGCTCTCCGACAGTGACGATCATCGGGTAGTGAGGCCTCGGCGCATAGCCATGAACACGACGCGGATTCCTGATCGCACTCGAGAGAGAGAGAGGGAGAGAGAGAGAGAGAGAGAGAGAGAGAGAGAGAGAGAGAGAGAGTCGCTGGCCAACCAGAAGTCGATGTACGTGTGGTTCCCAGTCTTAGCGACCCTGTGTGAGCCTTCTGGTCCCACGACCAAGTGTCCGTCGACTTTGGAAACGAACTCGGAGCTGCTGAGGGTGTCTGGCGAAACGTCCCAGTCCCCTCCGGCAACATAAGGCACGCGATAGAAGCGAAGCGCTTCGCCCAGCTTCGCCAGGCGCTCGATGTTCTGCTGAGCCAACCCAATACCTTCTTCAAGATAGATCGATCCAGCAGTGAAGCCCCCACGAGGCCCAGCATGGATAAAGACGGCCACGCACCGCGACTTAACTAGCACGTGATTCTTCACCCAAGGGATGCTGCCGAGGTACGCGGTGCCGATATGACTTCGAACGAATAGACCTGCCCCCGCCATCATTGAGCCAGTGGGGCCCACCAGACAGTCAGTAATGAAGGCTTTCCATCCGTTACCTCAGCCTGCGAGCGCTCGTCTGACCTGAGCCGAACCTCCTGCGACGCCACAATGCATGATCCTGCAGCGCCTTCCTCCAGAAAGGTGCGGAGCCCCCCCCCAGCCGTTCGCGTTGTAGGTGACCACCGTGAGAGGGCGACGGCCAGCACGCCGAGGAGCACGCCGTGAAATCCGCTTGTCATCGCTGTGATCCTGAACAAAATTCATTCGAGCCCCGTCTGGCGGCATCGACGCGAGAGCCCCAGGGACCAGAGCGTTCTGAACGCCAGCAGGACAGGGAAGTGACGCCTTGCAACGCCTCCTCAGCTTAGGGCCCATGGTAGAGCCACCGATTGGCCGCGCTGAAGCCGACGCCGAGCCTGCCGTGCGTGAAGATGTTGAATTAGCCGACTGTGATGTTGATAGTCTCTCGCCTCTCAACGTCTGTGTGTGTAGGATATGTCCACTGCTGCCTGCGGTTACCCTCCTTAAACCCATGAGGGCCCAGCGGCAAGCGCCAGGCGGAGGGAGGCACGGCCTCTGTAGACAAGGTAGCTGCAACATGAGGATGCTCGGAGAGTGG